AAAAAATCCATCTTCTGGCCCAATTTTTAATTTTTTAGTCAGATTTTTTCCCTCTGGGGGAAACAATTTTTTAAAATGGGGGGTTTTGTGAAAGGGTTATTACGTGCCAAATTTTTTAAATCAAATTGGAAAAATTCTCTTTTTGATCAAAAATAAGTCACAGTTTTTGATTTTTATTGTTTTTTCCGGTTTTTAAATTTTAATTTTTTATGTGCCTAAAATACCCTGCGTCCCTCCCCAAGTCATGGGTTTTAAAAATTTTGTATGTTAAATACAAGTTGTTTATTTATTTTTCTTACAAGGTAAATCAATTTAACCGGGAAAAATTTTGGAGTAAATTTTGGGGCTGAAATGGGTCCTAATTTTGCTTTTTTTGGGAAACGGGAAAATTTTGAAATAACGGTTTTTATTTTTCTGTTTCACCTCATCCTTCCCATTTTAAAAACTTAATTTGTTTGGTGTTTTATGAATTGACTTTTTTTTTTGGTCCTTTAAAAGGTTTTAAATTAGATTTGGGTTGGGTAATATCCCAATATTTTCCCTTTAAATTGTTATTTGGGCAAATCCCTTTTCCCTGATTCCCTTCAATCTTAAAAAAGCTAGTTTTCAACTAAAGAAAAAAAATTTATCCCCACACTCTGCACTATTCCAGCTCAAAACCTTGGGGAAACCAAGGGGAACTGGGGTTAGGAAAAACGGGATCCCTTTCTGGGTCGCGCAGTGACGAATGCATCTTTTACTTTTTGTTTTTAAATGCGGGGAAAGCTAAACCAGTACGGGGTTCAAAACAGTATCGGGAAAAGAATGCGATGCAGCCCGGGGTTTTTGACCGGGGAAAGGGGAAATGTTCGTTTCCCTTTAAATGGAGTCTTTTGCTTGCATAAGCACCCCCAATAGAGAGACAATAAACCCGGCCCCATTTAGACAAACCCCGGGGAAAGAATATAAAAACAAAAATCCAATTTGAAGATTAAGACATTTTAAGCAGCTTATGGGAATTTTTAATTCAGGAAACGTTTCGCCACACAGGGCTTATAAAGTCCATACAAAGAGGAAGGCTTTAAGGAAGGAGGAGTATGAGGTAATCAGTCCCCCACCTGAATCGTGTGTTTTTAGTCCAACAATCTTGTAGAATGTCGACTCCCCGGGGAGGGGCTTTATTACCCCATACTCCTCCTCCCTTTACGCCTTCCTCTTGTATTTGGGCTGATGAACCACGTTGGCGAAACGTTTTTTGAAAAAGATTTCCCCTATGCGCATAGGTGCTCAATTTCAACTTGTCGGTTTTTTTAAACCATTATTTATCACCAAAAGGGAACTTACCCATTAGAGCGGGTCCTCGGGGGGCGGGGGCGGGGGCGGTAAGCACATCCAAATTTCCAACTTGCATCGGAAAATTTTAGCAGTCCAAGTCCAAACCCCCTGGGCCCTTCTTTAAAAACCCCCGCATACCCTGCCCAGCCCAGGGTACCATAAGCGGTTTCCAAAAAATGAAAACGAATCTTTTTTCCAAAAACATTAAATCGGATTTCCCTTGGTCGTGCCCCAAAACAAGTAGAACCCTATGTCAAGGGATGCTATTCCTTCCTTGCTGGTGATGTGGTCGATGTTGAAGATGTCGTATTTATACGTAACTACACCTAATTCATTCATATCTTGTGCTGGTGAGACTTCATGATCGTAGTCTGGTTCCTTAGTCACTAGTCGCTTGCGACAATCTTCTTCGTCACTGCGATCGGGAGAGTCTTTCCGACGGTCACATCGCTGACTCCTGGGTAAACAGACACCATCATGTGAAGAGAACTGTAATATGTTGCAGGAAGTGAGCGTCAGTGTTATGGTGTGGACACCAGAGTACCAGGTAAGACGTCCCACTGGCCGGGATCCTCCTCTCAGTGCCCAGGTCTTTCGGTGAAGTTCAGATCTCAGCACCCACAATTCTCCCTCCTGTGTGATGTTGGAGGTGTCATCTCCTTCAAAGTAAATATTTCCATCAGGCAACATGCGTAAGAAGTAATATCTGTCAAAATTGTTAATAGCGCCGTAGAGGGTATATCTTAGTGTGGAAGGCACACGACATATGCTGCACTCTAGCTCACTCAGACAGTTACGTGACCCCAAGGAGCCGTTGTTCAGTAATGTTGGGCACTGGAACCTGAGTCCCTCCTCAAACGAGTCCTTGTTGCCCACCCATGACATATGTGATTGGTCCGTGGTGCATGTGTTGTGTTTAATCTTGGGTACATTAAAACTACCAGACTTCACCTCTTCTTCTGTAAGAAAACGTCCGCTAAACCCTTTACATATTCTCAGCATCCCTTTATAATCAGAGAGTTCTATTAGCAGCAAACTGTTTCTTGACTGAGAACACAATTCTTCCTTTGTATAATCAACAAGCATTGCGTTCCCTCGACTGATCCAGGTGGAGTTGTTGGGGGCAGCATTCTCGGTGCTGGTCACAAGACTGCTGCAGTTACTGACAAGCTGAGCAGAGCTGTTGGGGGTCCCCTGGTGGAGGAAGACAGCAGCAACAAACCCAGTAAAAGAGCGTAGATGACCTTGAGGGGAGCCCACACACACCCCTGCTTCTGGCACAGTGTCCAGAGTCTCCTCAACGCTAGTCCAGTTTAAGAACTTTTCCTCTGCACGCGCCCACATCTGTAACATGCGAGGCATTTAGACTCCGAGAATTCTGTACATCATTTAATATTGTTATGGAAACTCGCCGAATATTGGGCTCACATCTGACTGACGTGGATTCAGTCCCGACTCAAGATGAAAAGCTGGGCATGTTTCCTTACAACTGATGTACGTCCCTGTTCACCTACCTGGGTTGATCTCCATTCCTTCCACTATTGGAGGCTCTTGAAAAAGTGTTGGCTGCAACACGAAGGGCCTACAGCTATCACTCAACCCCCTTGTGGTTGTTTTGCACACACACACACACACACACACACACACACACACACACACACACACACACACACACACACACACACACACACACACACACACACACACACACATACACAGTGCACACAACCGAGAAAGAAGTGAAGAGGCTTCTGAGTGAGCTAGATACCTCAAAGGCAATGGGGCCAGGATAACATCTCCCCATGGGTCCTGAGAGAGGGATCAGAGGCGCTATGTGTACCCCTAACAACAATATTCAATACATCTATCGAAACAGGGAGATTGCCTGAGGCATGGAAGACAGCAAATGTAGTCCCAATCTTTAAAAAAGGAGACAGACATGAAGCACTAAACTACAGACCAGTGTCACTGACATGTATAGTATGCAAAGTCATGGAGAAGATTATCAGGAGAAGAGTGGTGGAACACCTAGAAAGGAATGATCTCATCAACAGCAGCCAACATGGTTTCAGGGATGGGAAATCCTGTGTCACAAACCTACTGGAGTTCTATGACATGGTGACAGCAGTAAGACAAGAGAGAGAGGGGTGGGTGGATTGCATATTCTTGGAATGCAAGAAGGGGTTTGACACAGTTCCACACAAGAGATTAGTGGGAAAACTGAGGAAACCCAAACAGGATAACAGGGAAGGCACTACAAGGATCGGGGAAGATT